CGCGCTGCTTCCAGCTGATCTGGAAGCTGCCGCGGGTCTGGCCCCCGGTGCTCCGCCGCTTTGCTCCAGTCTCCCTGGTCTGCTGGCTCCGCCAGCAGACCAGGGAGATGGGGAGCAGCTTTTCTCACCCCGGAGAAGGCGGGCAGCGGGACCAGGCATCCCGCTGCTCTAGTTCTCCGGGGCAAGAAATCCCCGTTCGTAACTGCGGATCCGACATCAGTCGGATCCGCGTAACTCGGGGATTGCCTGTAGTGCTGTGCAATTTACATGTAAAAAGGAATAATATGTTCTTATTTATTAAGTTCCAGATTTCAGGAAGGAATTGGAATCATCTTTCCAAGCACGGCAGCAAAAATCAAAATATAATCCTGCATCCAGGTAGGAATATAGGAATTGCATGGGCTTATACTGGGTGCTTCAGAAGAAGTCAAAACTCCTGCACCTGGAAGACTGCACAGTTCAATGCCATGATAGTGCTCATTTTCTACTATCATTTAGTAATTGTACCCTTGTTATTTTTAATAATAAGAACAGACACTTTATTGGCCTTCTCTAGATCACTCACTGTTACTCCCCAATAGCCTCTAGTTTCCCCACTGCCTCCCTGAGGTCAGTGATAATTTTTCACCATTCTAAATCTCATAAACAACAAAAATGACTAAAGGACTTGAAAACATGGCCTATGAGGAAAGATTAAAATATGGGTTTGTTTAGTCTGGAAAAGAGAAGAGTGATGTGGTACATGGTAACAGTCTTTAAGTACATAAAATTTTGAAAAGAGGATGATAAACTGTTCTTACCTACTGAAGACAAAACAATTAATAAGTGGTTTAAACTGTAGCCAGCAAGATTTAGGCTAGACATGGGAGAAAACTTCCTTACTGTAAGGATAGTTAATCACTGGAACAAGTTACCGAAGTTGATTATGGAATCAGCACCCAGCTCAGGCCTATGTAACATCCTTGGGACCATATAGGTAGTGTATATTTTGTGTGAATATAGCCCACATAGCACATAGAAAGCAGGTCACAATGGTAAATAGGTAGTGAACCATTGATCAGATAACACTTAGTTCTGCCTTAGTGCAGGGAACAGATCTAGATGACCTATCAAAATCCTTCCAGTCCTACATTTCTATGATGCTATATTATTACAAAATTTAAAATATGATACAAACCCAATGGAAAGGATCCAATTAAACAGACTTTGCATGAGGCCCTGTTGCCTACCAATTATACTGCAGGATTGTTCCCTACAGTATAATTTTTATTGCTTTGGTTAATTTGTTTTTTATTAAATAATTCTGAAGCTTCAGAATTTATTTTTGGCATTTATTTTTGAGCAGTCTGTCTCTGTCTCTCAGGGTGCATCTATACAGCACCCTAAACTTGAAATAAGATACGTACTTTCAAAATAGCTTATTTTGAAATTTGGCACCAAATTTCAAAATAACACACTATTTTGAGCCATCCTTTATCCCTTGTGCAGTAAGGTTTATTGGAATGGCGAAATAGCAAGCCCGTTAGTTCGAAAATATTTTGAAATAACGGGCAGCTTGTGTATCCCAAAATAACCGTGCAGAGTAGACATACCCTACTACATAGCATACAATAATTGTCATAAACAAATCATGTCAAACCAGTGCAATAGCTTTAATTGCCATAGTAGCAAGACTTGTTGATGGGAGGCAAGTAATAGATATGATATCTTGATTTTAATAACATTTTTTACCCCATTTCATAAACTGACTAGGGAAATGTAACCTAGACGGAGCTGATATAAAGTGGGTACATAACTGGTTAAAAAAACATTCCTAGAGGGTAATCCTCAGTGGTTGAGTCAACCAGATACAGAATGACAGTCCATAGAAATTGTCCCGGATCCTGTTCTGTGCAATGTCTAGATAAATGTGATTTAAATAAACGGCAGAGAGAGCACACTTGCAAAGTTTAAGGATATCAAGCTAGGAGGGGTTACCAGGTTTTTGGAGGATACGATCAAAATTAAAAATGATTGGGACAAACTAGAGAAATGGTCTGAAGTAAATAGGAGGAAATTCAATATAAAAAAAAATGCAAAGTACTCGCTTAGAAAGAAACAGTCAATTGCACACATACAAAATGGGAAATGACTGCCTAAAAGAGTTCTGCAGAAAGTGGATCATAAGTTACGTATGAGTCAACACTGTAACACTTTAACCAAAAAAGCAAACATCATTCTGGGATGTATCACCAAGAGTGTTGTAAGCAAGACACAAAACTTAATTCTTCTGCTCTACTTGACGCTGAGAAGGAGCGGTCACACTCTTCACCCTCTCCTAAGGCCATTCCTGCCAGGGTCAACCTTAGGAAAAATGGCAGCCTGGACAAACTTGTATTTGGGTACATTGGCCCCTGCTGCCTTCTCTCCTGAGGTCTCTCCTGACCTCCACCTTTCCCAATTGCCCCTGGCCCCACTGCCTCTTCTGATCCCTTAATCCCCTCTTCGACCCCAGTTCTGAATGCCACAGTGCAGAAAAGATATGGAAAAAGCCAACCCTTAACACTATTTCCCTCTGTGGTCATTAGAGCTTAAGCTAGAATTTTTTTCATGCTACGTTCATCCCACGTTTTCCTTCTCTTCGTTATTCTGATCCAAATTCATCCCTGATGAAACTCAAAGGAGTTTACACTTTTCATATTTTTCTCTTTGCATTTATCATAATTAATAGCAGATTCAGCATTTATACTTAACATTATTTACCACTTTCTTCTAGCCCTCCTTGTATTTCAAGTACTAAAAGTTTTCAAGGCTCAGGTAAGAATCCTAAGATTCCACACAAAACCAACTCCCTGTAAAACTGGAATGGATAAGTCCTAGTGTCACAATATGTATCTGCACAAACACTTCTATGATGAACTGGAAAATAGTTGCATTAATTTTGATCAATATGTGCCTATGTGTCTGTTTATGATGAGTTACTTGCTATGCAGTTAGATCAAAAGGGGTTATTAGAGGAAAAACTGACATACGAATCCTTGGGGAAACATTAGGAAAGCTGTTTGTTTGGGAATACCCCTTACACAGTTCTGTGTAGGTTAAAAATAATTTATTCTTTCCCAGGCTAGGCTCAGGCCTACCAAAAGGAAGCCATGCAGATAAACTTACTGAGGCTGTCCAGGGACCATCAGTGAGATGACAGTCATACAAGGCAACACTCAAAGATAGAGAGAGCTTGTTGACAACAATACAGTCCACTTCTCCTAGTCACAAATGGATTAGCTGGGCTGAGAGGAATTTACAGATACTTTTAGGGAATCATAGAATCATAGGACTGGAAGGGACCTTGAGAGGTCATCGAGTCCAGCCCCCCGCCCTCAAGGCAGGACCAAGCTCCATCTACACCATCCCTGACAGATGTCTATCTAACCTGTTCTTAAATATCTCCAGAGAGGGAGATTCCACCACCTCCCTTGGCAATTTATTCCAATATTTGACCACCCTGACAGTTAGGAATTTTTTCCTAATGTCCAATCTAAACCTCCCTTGCTGCACTTTAAGCCCATTACTCCTTGTCCTGTCCTCAGAAACCAAGAGGAACAAATTTTCTCCTTCCTCCTTGTGACACCCTTTTAGATATTTGAAAGATTAAAGTATAGGTAAGGAGAAATGTGCACACAGAACTTATTTATTGTAACCTGTGGGATCCAAGTACAAATCATGTTTTGTTTTGAAGCTGGTTTTGAGTCATTAATCAGCTACTCTCTCCAGCTTCTAAAGGAAAAGGTCAAACTCATTTGTGCCTGTCAAGCTAGCATGGCTTGGGAACAGAGAGGCCGCATCATTTGAATGAGTAGCACAAAGTCAGGTGTGTCACCTGAGGGGTATTCATGAGAAGGATAGTGGTCTAGAGTGTGGCTGGCCCAAAACCCAGGAGAGTTTGTTTAGTTCTATTCATTTTGTCTGCATCTTTCTGGTTCTGATGACCAGCACTGAATGCAGACGATTTAGATACTCACATTTTGCATCAGTGAAGAGCAGTCTCTTCATAGTCACACAGAACTTTTTTTCAAGGATTTTGGGAGGTATTTTTTGGTCAAAAACCAAAATTTTCTTGTGGGAAATAATAAATGAAACTAAAAGTTTTCAGAAAATAATATTTTAATACTAGTTCTATTGTTATATTTAAATCAATCAGAATCTCAATTTTAAAAAATATTACTCATGACTGCAACAGCATTTCCAGGCTGTTGCACCACAGTGCCACACAAAGCGGCGGACTTTACACTGATTTTATGCCCGACTTGTCGTAGAGCATATGAAATCTTGCTTAGAAGGCTGCCTTTCCATCCTCCCCCAGAAAGCAGCAATTACTTCTGCACCTACAATTAACTGTGGATGCAAATGACAGAGTTTTGGCATTTTATTTGCAGCTACAAAGTAGATGTGTAGACATAACCAGAATTTGACATACAAAATTGATTGCAGATACAAAATTAGAAGCTTAGTTCCAGACCTTTAAAGCATTTGGCTCAGAGCCTTCATTTAGAAACTGATCCAACGCCCAGTGAAGACAATAGAAGATTTCTGACTGATTTCAATGGGCATTGTTTAAGGTCTTTAAAAATAAATTTAATACTGTTAGAAACTAGAAATGTGGTACATACGTGCCAGAAAGATGCATTAATACTAAGCACTTGAAAACTATTACTTTTCTTTTAAATAGCTTATTTTCAAGATTGGGTATCTTCATTATTATACCCTGCAATATGGTTAGAACAATAAAAAAAGATAGACATATAGATAAAACAATGAAATACAATTACCTAAAAAGAGCAGGCCCGTGTGACAGACAGAAAAGATAGACGATTTAGATACTCACATTTTGCATATCCTGTCTTATTACCATTTTTGTAACCTTTTCTAAAACAAACAAAATCTTGTTACATAAGTGACATGCTTATGGCACATTTTAAATAGTTCCAATAATCCTCTTTTACTCTGATATTATATATACACATTAGCTGCTGACTGAGTAGAGAAAAGTAGATATGTATGATTGCTTTCCACACCTCCAGCCGAGCGATGAATAGTGGATATCACTTCTCTGAACTCTGACTACAGGGCCTGAGCCAAAGTCCATCGACTTCATTGAGCAGACCCACATTTAGTAGAGCAACAGAGCTTTTGAACAATTAGAGATTCCTCTGAATGGGTGGACATATGTGGCATCCCCAAATGGTGGGATTGTGAGTGGCTCTAATGTACCCCAGACCAGGCACTGCTAAGCCTACAAACATAGATCCATGGAAATTAAATGGTATAAAATACAGTGAAAGGTTTTGTTTCCCTTATAGCACAGAGCTAACCATAAATATTTTCTGCTGAATATTTTTACCATGGAGTTCTTAGAGACTCTGTTGTAAATAAACTGTAAACAAGCCATATACATTTAATATTTGCAAGTGATATTTATTGTGCATCAACCTTGAATGAAAAAAAAAGCATCATTGGAAAAAATCAGTAATTAATTAAATGCCTGAGTCTGAAATCAGTGGAGTTATTTCCATATAACACAGATTAGAATTGGGCCCCTTTATTTTTAGTTGTAACCATTGCAAATAATAAACAGTACGCTTAAAAGGTATTTTCAATAAGGCACATATACTGGCAAAATTAGTTGATTGTCAAAGTACAGAATAACATGGTTTCTCTCTCATTAATTTATGTTCATAGGATCCAGACTAAACATAAAAAATGGATCAACTGAAGGATCATCCTCTCCACAAAAGCAGAATCCTTCTGAATGTAGATCACAACATATATATGTAAATCTGCAAACACAACATCCTACAAAACCTTTTGAAAAGGTAAACAACCCTCAGATACATTAAAGAATCAATTTCTTACTGAAGATATGTAGTAGAAATAGTACATATTATTTGTATTACCATGGATCCCAGTTATGGACAGTGGCACTTCTGATGGTTGTAACAAACACACAAAAATATATTATCATTAATATATTATCATTGTATATTCTGAATGTGAACACACTGGTGTATCCACAACAGTTGTATACTAACTCTATATATTTAGGCACCCAAGAAACTGTGGGTGATTAGGGCAATGCTGCTTATAGTGACTCAAGCATGATTATTAACCTCAGGGCAGACTGCTAAGAATCGGGGAATACACCACAAATAGATTGTGAATTCTATATTTAGATTTCACCAAGCAATAATCAAGTATAAACTCAAGTGTTATAACAGCCTAAATATAGAGTCACAGAGCATCTTCTCAGGTACTAAAAATGCGTTTGTAACAGATGGCTTATACCAAGAATCGCAGCAATATTCAGGTTACTCTCAGTCCCAAAGAATGAGTCATTTACCCCAGACCAGTAACAAACCCACACTAAAAACAATGTTTGTAGCCAATCCTATAATAAATTATGGATGTTAAAAAGCAGGTAATTGGCTAAACATTTAATTACTGAAAATATCATGGGTACATGATTACCCACACCACACATGCAGCCCAGGGTGGCAGCTGGTGCATGTCGGGAGCCAGCTCCCAGCGCATACCGGTTTCCGCTGCTGCTGCCTCTGATACAGCAACGAGGGGCAGCAGCCAGCTTACCAGGAGCCCGTGCACGCTGGGAGAAGGCTATTAAGCCAGCTCCTGACACACACCAACTCCTGGGGAGCTAGCTTTGATATAAATGCCACCCTGTGCTGCTACCATTGGCTCCCAAGGAATGAGACAGGAGCTAGCGTGTAACCATGAACGTTAACCAATAAACCCAGACTTTTCAGTTAACCGTTCACACTTTCACATCCCTATAATAAACTATATCAAAATCAATTAAATAGCAGAAGAAAATAAGTTATTTTTACAACATTACAGCAGGAAAACATAAAAGACTAACTTATTGCATAGCTAAGTTTCCAAAGGCAATTGAAACTTCTATAATAAGCAAGCTCTATTTCAGGAGTTTTCAACCTTTTTCCTTCTGAGGTCATCAGAACATTCTATGAAAATTCCAAGATCCACCCATGCCACAACTGATTTTTCAGTATATTTTGTAGATTAAAAGTTGTATTAATTTGATAGCTATACAGTTAAACACACAAAGATGTATAATTTAAAAAACTAAAAGAAAGGTACATTCAAAACTAATTTTTTTTAACTTATGCAAGCCTAGTCAACACTAGAGCAGGCAGGTCAACATAAGGTATGCAATTCCAGGGAATCTTAAGCCGAGCTGTGGCAGCATCCACACAGCAGGAGGCCAACAGGAGCACACAGTTTCCCCTACTCCTCACAGAACGAGGAGTACTGGATGCCAGCAGGGGCTGCTCTCATCATTCCCTAAACTGAATGCTAAAAGAGTGACCTCTAGAGCGTTGATCTTCTCACTAGTGTAGACATGTCCTCAGTGTAAGCCCAGCAGAGCTTGGCCTACAACTTTGGCCCTGCGCAGCAAGACTCAGACTTTGGTTCTGGGCAGACCTGTTTCCCAGATCCCCTGAAACTTGTTGAGGGCACACAGAGCCCCATTGAGAACCACAATTCTGTGTTGTCATTTAGGGCTAACCCAGGATAAGCAGCTGGGGATCTCTTGCTTATGCCTAAAAAACCTTGCCCCCTCTCCTCAGAGTCTAAGCAGTGCAAAGCTACAGTTACTGCTTAGGGGGTTTTATCGCCTTTTCTCTTTTTTTCATGAGTTGCAAACTCAGTTGACGAGAGGAAACCATTTGCATGAGATCTTCACAGGGAAGGAGAGGGCACAGCAAGTCCTTTGTGCTCTTTAACATTCCAAAATAGACCATCAAGTGTTGATGGATTTTTCCTGTTGTGCAAGATATAACACCTTGGCTGTGTCTACATTTACGCGATCTTGCGCAAAAGCAGCTGCTTTGCGCAAAAACTTCCTGCCTGTCTACACTGGCCATGAGTTCTTGCACAAGTACACTGAAGTTCTAATGTATGAAATTAGTGCTTCTTGCACAAGAACTCTGGTGCTCCCGCTCAGGAATAAGCCCTCTTGCACAACTGTTCTTGCACAAGAGGCCAGTGTAGACAGGCAACATGAATTTCTTGAGCAAGAAAGCCCTATGGTTAAAATGGCCATCAGAGCTTTCTTGCGCAAGAGAGCATCCACACTGGCATGGATGCTCTTGCGCAAAAGCACATGCCAGTGTAAATGCTCTCTTCTGGAAGAGTTTTTGCACAAGAACTCTTCCGCAAGATCATGCCAATGTAGACATAGCCCTTTTGTTGAAGATCAGCACTTCACGCTTGCTTTGGTTTCTCTTCTGCCTGGTGATCTACATAGTAACAGAGGTTCACAATACAACCACTTAAATATTACCTTACAAAATAGGTTACAGATTGAAGAAGTGAGATTAATTCATGGAGCAACTCACAAGCATTTAATAATCTAAACCAGTGATCACCAACCAGTAGATCAGGATCTACCGGTAGATCTTGGAGCCTATGACAGGTGATCTTGACTGGTTTGGCCAGGAAACTATCAAGCGTTAGCACTTCAGTTGCACTCCTCCCACTGTCCTGCTGCTTCTGCTTTCTGCCTTGGAGCTGACCCCTCCCTACCCTCCAGGAGCCTCCTGCTTGCTGTGCAGGGCGTGGGAGGGAAACGGGGGGGCACTGATGTCAGGGTGTTTCCCCTGGCCCCACTCCTGTACCACATATCTCCATACAGAGAGAAGGGAATGGAGTTTGGCAATGCAAATCTCTCTCTCTCTTTCTCACACACACACACACACACACACACACACACGTGTGTGTTCCTGTCACTCACAAACACACACTGTCCTTCACTCTCATCTCCCAACCCAACCCAACCCACAAATGTGGGTTCTTGTTTTTGCTTCTTTTACTGCTTTCAAATTGTATTAGTTTTGGGTTTTGACTGGTCTGTGTAATTTTCATTTCATAATTTTCATTTCTCTCTTACGCTTAAATGTAATTCTTTGAGTAGTGAGTTCTAAAATGCCTAACCAGTCATGGCTGGAGTAATTATCCCTGTGGTAACTGCTGCTCCTGGAAATGGCTGGTATGTCCCTGCAGCCACTGAAAAAGGCAGAGCAGGGGATCTGTATATGCTGTCCTTGCCTGCAGACACCACTCCTGCAGCTCCCATTGATTGATAATGGGGAACCATGGTCAGTAGAAGCTGTGGGTTCCGTGCCTGTAGATGAGGGGCACCACATGGTGCCATTGCTGTACATGCCAGCTGCTCTGAGGAGTAGTGAAGGACCAGGGCAGTAGTAGGCCTGCCTTAACTCCACTGCTCCACCACCCAGAAGCCATCTCCATTAAATGGTGTACCCTGTACCCGTCCCATCCCTGAACCTGCTCCTGTACTCAATCTCCTGCTCCAGACATGAGTCCCCCTGCACCCTAACTCCTTCCTAGAGCTTGCACCCTGAAACCTCTCCTGGACCCCAATCCCCCACCCTGACCCCCTTGGCCCAAGACCAGAGCCTGCACCCTAACCACCTACCTCAGCCTACTGAAAGTGAGTGAGGATGGAAGGATGAAGGGGAATGCAGGGAGAAGCGGGAGACCTCAGAGAAGGGGTGGTGCAAGCCCTCGAAGAAGGGGAGGGAAGCAAGTGGGAAATGGGTATTTGGGTTTGAGGTAGATCTTATATTGCAATTACATTGAAAAAGTGATCTTGTGGTTTAAAAGGTTGGAGACTACTGATCTAAACATATTCTTACTACTGATTTTAACAATACTAATACAGAGATGAGCCAAACAATTCCAGACACATATTTGTCAGCACTCAACTGTGACAGCAGACTTTGGCATCTGACTTGTCAGTGTCACAATCAGTAACTCTGAAAATCAGACCAATTGTGGATTTATCATACCTTGCTTAAGCACAGATTTTTACAAAAGGTTTATTTGAATATAATTATACTAGTAGGTAATTATTATCATCATCACTTGTGTGAATACAATTGTCCTTCAAATGCAAATTGTATCTATTTCATTAGCTTTTGCTTCTGCAAATGACTTCATTTCTATATACTAAGCATAACATCTCACATTTCAGGATTTAAATAAATATGACTGGTATATCAGAGAATTTGATCGTCAGAAAGCAGAAGAGGCTTTGCTACAGAAGAGCACTGTAAGTATCACTAATCTTTAAAGCAATGGCTATGTCTACACTACATGCTTCTTGCACAAGAAGCCTTGTGCACAAGAGTTTTTGTGCAAAAACTTCTTGCGCAAGAGCACGTCCACATTGCAAAAGCGATGTGCTTTTACACAAAAGCATCCACTCTGCATGGACGCTCTTGCACAAGAAAGCTCTGCTGGCCATTCACAGAATGCCATCAGATCAACTGTGCTTTTTCCCATAGGGGTTTCTTGTTCAAGAAATCTCTCTGGAGCATCCACACTTGCCCTTTTGCGCAAGAACTCTTGCACAAAAGGGAGTTATGCCTCATAAAAGGAGGGGGGAAAAAAGGAAAACACACCTCTGTACTGCCATTTTACTCTTGATTTCCTTGCACAAAAGTGCATTTGAGGTGTGGACGCTCCCTGGGTTTTTGCACAAAAACCTTGTAGTGTATATAGCCAATGGGTTTAATTCTGAGGGTACGTCTACACTAGCTTGTTAGTTCAAGCTAGGTAGGGTAATTAGGGCAAGCGGAGTTGCAAATGAAACCCGGGATTTAAATATCCCAGGCTTCATTTGCATGTTCCCAGGCGCTGCCATTTTAAAATCCCCTAGTCCAAACTCCGTACCCACGGCATGGAGTAGGTAGTTCGAATTAAAGATCCTAATTCGAACTACCATTACTCCTCATTCCACAAGAATTAGGATCTTTAATTTGAACTACCTACTCCGTGCTGCGTGTAGCCGTGGGCATGGAGTTTGGACTAAAGGGGATTTAAAAATGGCGGCACCCGGGAATATGCAAATGAAGCCCAGGATATTTAAAATTTGTCTCTCACCAACAGAAGTTGGTCAAATAAAAGATCCTCTTTCACATTTTCTTTCTCCAACCATGCTAGATCACAGCAGAATCAATACTGTGCTATTGCTTGCTAAATAAATAACATCCTAAAATCAGCCTCATTTATAGTTAAATATTGCAGATTGGTTTCTTGTTAAATAAGCAAATTAAGGAATTTACAACATTGTTCAGGTCATTTTTTTCACATTTTTAAACCAAGGTAAGTGGGAGACATTCTCGTTTCCCCAGAGGGCTCAATTTTCCCCAAAGAACTTTCAATCAGCATGAAGCAGCCTAGAAGAGCTGAAGGCTTTTACACTGGTATATTTGACAGCACTGAACCTTACTGGCCATCCTCACAATGGTAGGCTTGGAAAACAAAAACAAAACAAAACAAAAAAAAAAGAGAGATTTTTGTTTGAGTACAGCAGAGTGGTAGAAAAAGAAAAGCAGATAACAAAAGCATGTCATTAGTCACAACCAGACTGCAGGAGATCTCACCAGAACATGGCTTTCCAGTATTGTAAATTGGATCACAGCCAAAACTACTCTTTCTGTTGGGAAGGATAACTTCAGCAAAGAAGAGCTACATTTGTGGATTGTACTTATCGGAATATTTCAGTCTTCGATATAAAAAGTACATTATTCAAAG